GCTTGGGTTCTGAGATTGCATTTTTTTCCTTCTCGTTGTCATTTCATGTAGCACTGTTTTCTGATCTTTGTTGTAGATCTTTGTTGCAGTTATAGCCTTAGCACCTACTGAAGTTCAGGTGTAGATCTACAAAGTTTGGATTTATCCAGCTGTGCCTGGCTTGGGTCTGGCTGCTGTGCCCCTCTGGCAAGATGTTCTGCTCCTGGACTAGCTGGGTTGTTCTCTACCCTACACTCTCTGCAGGGATTGCAGCTGAAGGGCTTCACCCCAGGGCTGTATGCCAGGCTTGAGCTGAGTCTGGAGGGGACAAGGTGGAGTATGAGGGAGAGGCAGCTCTCCCACACACTCACCAGGCCTGGACTAGGACTGGATCTGGTGGTTCCTGGAACCTGACAGAAATTCCTACTCTATGGGCAGGGTGGTAGGGTACTAAGGAGTGATTGGGGGCATCCCAAGAGGGTGAAAGAGGGTGTCACCCTTGCTGTGCCTGGGCTGGGACCAGTAGGTCATGCCAGCACAGGGTAGCCGGAAGCTCTCCCACACACTCACCGGGCCTGGACTAGGACTGGATCTGGGGGTTCCTGGAATGCGGCAGAAACTCCTACTGGGCAGGCGGGGTAGGGGAGGTGCTGCAGAGTGGTGCGGGGCATCCCAAGGGGTGGAAGTGGGTCTCACCCACGCTGTGCCTTGGCTGGGACCAGTAGGTCCCGCTTGCGCAAGGTAGCAGGAAGCTCTCCCACACACTCACCAGGCCTGGGCTTGGACTGCGTCTGGGAGTTGCTGGAATGTGGCAGAAATTCCTACGCAGCGGGCTTGGTAGGGTTAGTGGTGCAGAGTAGTGGGGGGCATCCCAAGGGGGTGGAAGAGGGTCTCACCCATGCTGTGCCTGGGCTGGGACCAGTAGGTCATGCCAGCACAGGGTAGCCGGAAGCTCTCCCACACACTCACTGGGCCTGGGCTAGGACTGGTGAGAACAATTTTGACCCCAGAAGAAACACCACTATAACTTTTTGTCCATATCTTGCTCAGAGTTTGCAACAATTGCAGTTGGAGCTTCCCACTGGCACCTCCGAGTCACTCATCTGCAGGGGAATATTCTAATGTCACCCTTATTCTCTCACTGTCAGCCTCACCACCGTTCCTACACCCAAAGACAAGCACAGCGCTGCAAGGCTAATCATTTATTGAACACATGGAGACAGATCTTATTTGTATGCAGTTCCCCCAAGTATGGAAATCAGAAATTTAAAGCAAAGTTTTGCTTGTCAGTCAATTGATAAACCTTCCAGGCGATTAGGGAAGAACTGGAGATGCAGGGGTGACACCTTCACATGTGAGTACGATGGTCTGAAGGTCGCAGAACTGGGCTTGAGGTGGCATAGAGATGAGGAAGCTGCGATGCGGAGTCCAGGGAGGGGAGCATTCACTCAGCACTGAACATGCAGAGGACAAAGAACACAGCAACTACAGTGAGCCCTTCTGAGACTGAACTGAGGACAAGAGACATTTTTGCTGCAAAGAAAAATGGTGAAGACCATGTCACCCATTCTGACACATGTTATTTATCAGAATACAAGGGGGCCGGGAGATAGCTCAGTAGAATAAGCACTTGCCTGGCAAGCGCAAGGTCTTGAGTTCAATCCCCAGTACTGGAAAACAAACAAACAAACAGAATACAAGGGACTGGGGAGATAGCTTAACAGCCTAAGTGCCTGCCTGGCAAGTGTAAGGTCTTCAGTTCAATTCCTGGTACTGAAAAAAAAAAAAAAAAAAAAAAAAAAAGAACAGAAGAAGAAGTACATCTCTGTTCTGTTACTAAAGTCATCTGAACCTTCCCTTCATGGAATCTATGGAAAATAGAAAGGAAACAATGACAAGTCCTACAATTGTTTCTCTTCATCTGGGGCATAAGAACTTTTTGAAGAATGTTTGAAAATTGAGGAATAATGATAAAAGCAATAGATACTTTTATTGAATGCTTATTCTATGCAAATTACTAAGGCTTTCATACATGTTATCTGAATGAAGCCCCACAAAAATATCTGAAGTAGGAGACAGATAAGGAAACTTGGAGGATCAAGGGAAGACTGGCAGCTCCATTCCCAGGTGGGAAATGGTGGGTGTGCAGAATGCAAAGGGGGACACTACCATCATCCATTAAAGAGAGACAAACCCCACCTCTGTGCCTGGAAAACGAAGCCCAACACAGACTCACAAACATTTATATTTGAGTTTCACATGCAGCACTCTGTTGCTGTCTTCACACTAAGTCACCATGATAAGCAACAGCTAGCCATCTCTGAGGCGTTTCATGCATGCCACAGCCACACGTAACTCTGAAGTACACATCATGGGAACACCACGTCTTCAAACCAGGTCCTCCAACTCAAAACTTCAAACTCTACCTGAAAGCTTCCTTACCAAATACTTCTATTGTGATCTTTGGGCACAAACCCCTAGTGCATGTGGAAGGCACTGACACCTGGTCACCCCTCCTCCCCAGGGGCACACCTCACAAACCTGGGCCTTCGGTTACACTTCTTCTTGGGCCTCGAGACAGGTATCTGCGGAGGCAGAGCAGAGCACATTCAGTCATCAGCTCCGGTTCCTCATCCAAGAGAAACCCAGTGAGTCTTCAGGTGGGGACAAGGGCACTGATCACCCTCCCTCGGATCGCTCCCTCTGTGATGTGGCACACAGGCAAGGAGAACCAGAGAGCTACACTTACCAGCACTGGTGAGGTCTACTATGTTCTCCTCGCTTATTCCCTTCTCTTTAGCTAGTTCTCTAAACCTGTTCTTGACTTCTGGACTCACATCTGGCTCTCGGCCTGTGGGAAGAGTGACAGCAACTGCTGTGTCTTTTGCATTAGCTGTCAAATGTAGTGAAGGGGCTGGGTTCTAGGAGGGTAGGGGTAGCACGGTCTCAGTTGGGTAGACAGGAGTTTTGGGAGTGGGATGCGGCTGCCCTGATTTGGACATCAGTTGGGATCAGCGAGAGATTTCTCTGTCTGTTTTCTCACATATTTCTCAAACAGGGTCTCACTATGTCTTCATGCTGGCCTTCAACTCATTATGCAGCCCAGCAAGCGTGTCACTTGTGGCAATATCCCTGCTGAGTGCTGGGATTACAGGCGTGCACCAGCACATGCAGCCAGTGAGAGAGTTCATCATCTTCCCCTCACCAAGTCTGAGTAATTACCAAAGGGACGCACCTGTCTTCCACGGGGGAGAGATAGTGCAGGATCACTGGAAAGACCATTTTGGTGTAGGGCTCATTTCAACCCCTTTCTTCCTACCAGAGGATGAGTATGAGCAGAAAAACACTGTACCTAAGAGCTCCAGCTTTTGAAAGGTTTTGAAATTCTTGATATTCCGAAGGTGAAGTATAATATAGGTATCATAGTCTGTCTCAGTTATGGAAATTATGTTGAATCCATCATCTGTGGAGGAAGCAGAGTGCCACTCAGAACTTCTTCTACCCATGGGAAGCAATGGAAAGCCTTTTACCTGTTCTCTCCCACAGTGCACTTTCAAATGCATATCTGGAAGATGTGGAGAATGAAGACGCCACATACCTTCCACTTGCAGCCCAGAAATTGTGTGAGGTGAGGTCTAAGTAAGGGGATCTTGAGAGAGTGACCACTAGTACAACAAAGCCACCATGGCAGCAGCAAGCCACCTGTTCTCATCTCCTGTGAACCAAGTCACCTCCCTCAGCTTGCTAGTGGTGCATCTCAGTCCTCTCTGAGTCTACCGGCCTTGCATTACTGCATCCTAGCAATGTGCTGCATGAAGATGACAGGAACTGGGAGCCTGTCTCATCAGTTTGCTCTGTTTATCCTGCTTTTTTCTTTTGTTGGGGAAGGTAGCTATGATCACAAATTGAGGATTTTGGTTATTAAATGACTGCCAGTTTAGTTCCAAAATAAATGTTGATAGAGAAATTAAATTGATTAAGTACCAGAAAACAATGGGAAGTTCTTTGCAGATAGGAATAAAATTTAGAAAAAGATTTAGTATACTTACACATAACAGTATATATGTTATTAAATCTTCTGTTTCCAACGAAATGCAATTCAGTACATTCTCCATTCACACTGTAAAAGAGGATACATGAGCACCCAGGAGGAATCATAGAGCTGGCTCCCGCAACCTTTACCTATAACTTCGATTTCATATTCTGCTCATCTTTAAAATGTTTTGTGGTAGTTGTTTTGTTTTTCTTTGTTTTGTTTTTGTGAGACAAGGTCTTATTATGTAGACCAAGCTGGTCTTGATTGCACTATGTGGGCAGGCTGGCCACAACCTTGCAGCCATTCTCTTGTCTCAGCCTCCCAGATGCTAGGAATACAGGTGTGACCGCCACACCTGGCTTGGAGCGTCTATCTGCACACAGCTCTTCTTTATCATTGTCTGCCTTAATTTGATGCATTAAGCAGGACTTCAACAACTGCTTCCCATTACTACTGCCTTCAGTTCTTCCATGATTACTGTCACCTGATTATAGTATTTGTCTACGTCTGTGGTGAGGAACCTGAGGCACATATGTTCTGGTTTTTGACAAAGATGTTAATGTAGGACTTGTTTTTTCTAAACTAAAACCTCAGCATTCAGGTATAATGGCAGTGCTGGCGCTTTGTGATAAATAAGTGGTCTTAGATTGCAGTTGGGCACTCATCTCTAAAAGGTTCACCACCACTGACTGCCTCGGTCCTAGCTGAGTGCACACCATTTGCCAGGTTTTCACATAAATGTTTTACATGCATCACCTGACCTGCCACTCGCTAAGACCATGCAGGAGAATTACTGTCACCTCCTGTTACCCAGGACAAGTGACTGCAGAAAGCAATGAGCTTTCTTGGCAGACAAGCAAGACACAGATTCCACTTCCAGTGGGTGATTGTCCCTCCATCTATGCTATTGTCACATTAATTATGGCCCTGGCATCCCTCTATTCTCTGCTTTCCTCTCTCTCTCTCTCTCTCTCTCTCTCTCTCTATATATATATATATATATATATATATATTCCTATAGCCAGGTATTACCTTTGGATCTTGAAATGCCCTGTTCCATCAAATGAAGTTAGAATCAGAAGAAGGCCCTCATTCTGGGCAGAGGCTCAGCACATGCGTGGGCATGCACTTGTCTGTGTGTGCACACATTTCTATGTGCCTGTGCCTTTTTTTTTTTTTTTTTTTTTTTTTTTTTTTTTTTTTTTTTTGGTGGTACCGGGGATTGAACTCAGGACGCTGCTCTTGCCAGGCAGGTGCTTATTCTACTGAGCTATCTTCCCTGCCCCTCCTGTGTAAGTTTGAGATCATACCCTGGCCTCTGTTTTCTCTTTCACATCTAAAACAGTCCACACTTACGGAGCATGGAATTTAAACGACAAGGAAGAGTTTTTCAAGCCTTGAATGTACTCCACAAAAAGCCTCATGCTACCGTTTTCTTCTATTTTTTCCATATTGTCGGAGGCCAAGAAAATAGAATGCCACTTCCCTGAAAGCTGAAACAAGAAACATGGTCAGGTGAGAAGAGGGGAGATAGGTATGACACTGAGAGCTTCTTCATGAACTCTGGTCTGTGGGCAGCACCCATACAAGTGGTGTGAAGTTGAAGTTAGCCCTGGGATTAATGCCTATACCATCCGATGCTACCCTTGTCCCTGCAGTGAGAACTGTGGTCCGAAAGCATTGTCATATTTTCATTGGCCCGGGTTGCCTTGGCCTAAGGTCTGGAACCATTCTTTTGTCTGTCTTAGAGCTCCTGCCCTTCCTTAGGCCACCCTGACTTCAGACATCCAAACCACTTCTCAAAGCTAGCATTGCTCTGCTCCATGACTTTACCTTTTTCAGATCAAAGTTTCTTTTCACCACCTCACTCCCTTCCCCATGGGAGCAGAACAGAGCCAGCCCCAGAAACAGCAGCAGCAGCTTCATCTTGGAGGGGATAAACTGTCTCTCCCACAGTTGTACAGATGAGACTTTCTCCAACACTGGTTCCTTCCCCACTCCTATGGCTTTATATCCATTCTGGGTCCAGGTTTTGGACCTAAGTATTTATGCTTTTCTAACTTCCTCCCCATGAAACTCTTCTTCATTTGCTGGTGTAAGGCCAGGATTGTGCTTTTCTGAAACTTGGCAATCCTACCTCCTCAGACACAGTTAGTGACCTTACATTTTTCCAAGCACATTCACAAAATAAATAGTGGGTGTGCTAAAGCACTGCCATTTGGAAATAGATTTAACTGTGGATCTGATTTGAAATTGGAATGTTAATCTTATGTGGCAGGAATGGAGATAACTACAGAAGGTGGGGAGAATCTCTGTTTCAGGGTTTACCTAGGGTACAGAATTAATTCAGTTCTTTAATTTCCATAATCCCAAGAAGCAAAGAGTACCCCTACTGAAGCTGCTGTGTAGGACCTATCATACAACATTGAAATAGAGTTGAATAAAATGATGTCTTTATGGTAAGGTAATTGATGTTCAAAGCATTTTTATTCCTTTCTCTTATTCTCTTACCTCTACCATTGAAGCCTTCCCTCTGAGGTAATCAATGAATGACCACTTAATCACTATGCTCAAGTCTATTCCAGGGGCTGTTAAGAGAACAGGAGAACAAGGTATCATCCCCTTCCTTCCATAACTTTCAATGATGTGGAGAGATACTTTATATGCTTACTTTTGTAAGCACACAAAATGCCTGAGCTGAGTAGTACCAAGTTCAGACTACTGTAAAGGGGGCAACGCATGGCACCATCTAGAAAGTCCTTCGTGGCACAGGTGTGCAGTCATGCAGACGTGGCCTTCATTCTCTGTCATTTTGAAGCCATGTGGACAGCTTCTAATTTCTCTATGAAGATAATTATCCCTGTCTAGTAGACAGCTGTAGAAATTAAGTGGGTAGTGCACTAACACTTGAGCATGTGGGCTGTGGCCACAGAATGTTTGCTGGACAAAGTGAGACTTTCAGTAGGGTCTTGAGTATCAGGGAAGGCATAGAGATGTGGAAATCTCGGGAAACAGCCCTGTAGGACTGAGCAGTGCTGTGCCTTCAGATCCCATGGACGGATGGAGAGATGGATGGATGATTTGGTAATTATTGTTTTTCTAATAAATTATTAGAGGGTTTTCCCATAGCAAAAAGCAAGAACTATTTTCAATGCATGGCTTCAAATCAAGTACCTGGTCACCATCATGTTACCATTCCTTCACCCTATACCACATATTGAGCATTTCTTAAGTGACTCAGGGAAGGGTGACAGTCTGCCATGTAGTTGAGAAATGACTGGCCCAAGGAATGGCCCACAATATTGATAAGGAGTTTGTGGAGGTCATATGCAATAACAGCCCACTCATAACAAGGTAGTCTGCCTAACAGGAAATGTACTTAATGACCTTATCCTCAATCATATTCTCACTTAATTGAGCAAGTCACTCATGAAGAAAGACAGTGGAACATTCTAGTCATGTTACACAATACAAAGGCTTACTTAGTGTCAAGAAGAATAACAAGAAACATGGGATTATTTGATTCATGCACCACAGTGAAAATATTCCTGATCCCCTAGCAGCTATGGCGATTGCACATTCTGATGGTGTTGGCAGAAAAGCACTTCCTTTTTTTTTTTTTTGGGTGAACCAGGGATCAAACTCAGAACCTTGTGCTTTGCAAGGCAAGCACTTATTCCACTGGGCTATCTCCCCAGCCCAGGAAAGCACTTCTAACACACCTGCTTCCTTTCCTAATAGAAGGCATGTGGAGAGACCAGCATCCACCTATTCAAGGTGGATCCTCTGCCAAAAAGATGCTTATACAGACTCAGGAGGGGAAAAAATGTATGGGGTTTGGTGGAGAAAAGAGCAGGGAAGGAGAATTTGGGAAGGGGAGTTACCAGGCCATGAAAGATCTGACAATGACTGTCGCTGCAGAGGACTCTAGCTTGTTGGAGGAGTTCTGCAGGCAAGAATGTTAGCTCCATGTACTAGAGTTTTGTTTAGTGATTAGCTTGGGCTGCCCCTGGAAGACCAGTCCAGTGCCTTGGCTCAAACTTTGAGGTGAATCTACGTGTTAGAGTCTGAGCTAACAGTCAAGGCTGTCACCTAACCACACACTTGTAATTAGCCAGTAAGTTTTTTCTTCTTTTTTCTTTCTTTCTTTCTTTTTTTTTTTTTTAGTAAGTCTTTTCTTAAATAAAGATTTTAAGCCATACACCTCTGTGCTTGGTTAGGAATGAGCTAAGTACTGGTAATTCCATTTGGTGCAGCTGAAGAGTGGTGATGCTCCTATTGACATTAGTGATTTTTATTCTGAAGTACAATCATTGATCTTAAATTTTAGAATTGAAAACAATTTAGGCATTAATGTGAGAAACTCTAAAAATATTTAAAATCAGATTGTTAAATGTGTCTAAATGGCCTATATGGCAATAACTGGTAGTTCTGTCTTTTTTTTTTTTTTTTGTGGATTCAACCCACAGTCTTGCACTTAGGTACTTCTTTAGGTCTTTTTAGTTAGACCTTAGAGACAGGGTCTTGGCAAGTTGCCAAGCCTGGCCTTGACTTGTGATCTTCCTCTCAACCTCACAATAATTCAGGATTGCAGGTGTGCCACTCCAACTGGTTGGAAGTTTCTGACTAGAACATAGGGAATGGACTTTCCTGCAATATATGCTCTTAAAAATCTACCAGGTACTGGAAAGATATCTCTTAGTCATAGATCAGCAGAATTAATGTTATTAAAATGGTTATATCATCAAAATGATCTATAGATCCAGTGTAATTCCTCTTAAAATACCAACAACACTCTTCACAGAATCAAGAACCTTAAAATTCATGTAAAAACACAAAAGACTCAGAGTAGTCAAAGCAATTTTGAACAAGAAGAGTAGAGGTATTATAATCTCCAGTTTCAAATTATACTACAAACCATTATAACAAAACCTAGCACAAAATAAATCTGTATAAAAAGTTTAAAGTATGGTCATACTTCATTGTATTAGTTCTTCCTATCCAAGAACAAAGGAAATCTTTCTATTTTCTGATATCCTCTTTGATCTCTTTTTTCAAAGTACTATAGTTTTCAATGTAAAAGTCTTTTACTTCCTTTGTTAGATTGACTCCTAGGTATTTCATTTTATTGGAAGCTATTGTGAAAGGTATTATTTCCCTAATTTCTCTTACTGGGTTTGTTATTTATGTACAGGAAAGCCATTGATTTTTGAGTGTTGACTCTGTATTCAACTACTTGACTGAATTTGGTAATTAAATCTAGAAATCTTTTGTTGGAGTTTTTAAGGTCTTCTTTGTAGAGTATCATGTGCTCTGTAAATAATGATAATTTGACTTCTTCCCTTCCTTTCCTATCCTTATTCCTTGTATTTCTTTCTCTTGTCTCATTGTTCTGGCTAATGTTGCCAGTGCTATATTGAATATGAATGGTGACAGTGGATATCCTTGTCTTGTTTTTGAAAAGTGAAAGTTTTCATATTTAATTTGATGTTGGCTATTCCTTTGTTATAGATGGCTTTCATCCAGTTGGATAAAGATCATCTATTTCAATTTTCTGTAGGATTTTTATCATGAAGACACTTTGTCAAATGCTTTTTCTACATCTATTGAGATGATCGTGTTTTTGTCTTTGGCTCTGTTAATATGATATATTACATTTATCAATTTGTGCGTGTTGAACCATCCCTGCATCCCTGGGATGAATCCTACTTGGCCATGGCATAAAATCTTCTTGATGATTTGCTACATTCTGGTTGCTAGTCTCTTTCTTTTCTTTTCTTTTTTTTTTTTTTTGTATTTAAGACAGGGTGTACAGGGTCTCACTGCATAGATTGGACTCTTAGTGATCCTCCTGTTTTCAGCCTCCTGAGCTTGTCTCTTATTTAGAATTTTTGCATCTATGTTTATTAGAGAAATTGGCCTGTTGTTCTCTTTTTGGTTGATCCCTATATGATTTTGCTACCAGGTTAATTCTTGCTTCCAGGAATGAATTTGAGATGTTGCTTCTCTTTCAATTTCATTAAAGAGTTTGATAAATGGTGATATTGGATCTTCTCTAAATTTGTTGTAGAGGTCAGCAGTGAATCTGTCAGGGCCTGGGATTTTCTTTCTTGGTAGGTTTTTAGTTACATCTTCAATTTCATTGAGTGATGTTGGTCTATTTATAATATTTATTATCTTTTTGATTCACCTTTGGTAATTTGTATGTATCTAGGAATCTGTCCATTTCTTCTGTATTCCACCTTATTAGAATACAGGTTCTTGAAGTAGATATTGATGATCTTTCAGATTTCTGTAGTATGTGTTATGGTATCACCCTCTTCATTCTTAATTGCATGGATTTGAGTCCTTTCTTTACTTGGTTTGATAAGCTTGACTAAGGGTTTGTTGATTTTATTTAATTTTTCAGAGAACCAACTCTTTGACTCACTGATTCTTTGTATTGTTCTCTTAGTCTTCATTGCATTAATTTTTGCTCTAGTCTTTATAATTTGCCCCCCTCATATGAGTTTTGGACTTGATTTCCTCTTCATCTAGAAGCTTGAGGTTCAAAATTAGGCAGTTTATTTGAGCTCACTATGTTTTTCTGATTATAGTGGTGAACTGACTACAATAAATTTGCCTCATAGGACTGTTTTCACTACATCCCTTATGGGTCCAGTGTTGTATCGATAACATCATTTAATTATAGAAACTGTCTAATTTCATCTTTAGTTTCATCTGTGACTCATTGGTTTTCCTAGAGGATTGTATTTGATTTCCAGGTATTTATGAAGCTCTTGTACTTTCTTTTGTCATTTATTTCCAATTTCATTACACTATAGCCTGATAATATGCATGGGATACTCTTTTGTATTTGCTTAAGCATGTGCTCTGGCCTAGTATGTGGTCTATTTAGAGGCTACATACTAGCTCACAGAACATTT